AGTCGGGAGCTGTACTCTGGTACTTTGCAGTGAAACTGTCTCCACCGTTATATCCTGATAACCTGAACGTTCTGTCGCTGATTGTGCCAGCGTGTTTATAATAGTCTTCGACGACTATAAAAGTGTTTTGGAGGCTGTCCTGATTAATATTGGTAAAAAATAAAGTATGCTTCGATACTTCATCAAGTGCTGTCGTCGTTATTCACTCCAAATCCACACAAACCGCGTACGAACGTGAAGGAAGAAAATAACGCAACAACTGGTGTCAGAAAAAAAGCGTAACAATATTATCAACATAAACAGTTCTGCTGTAAGCCAATTATAAGCCAATGCGTTTTAAACCCATAGCTTCATGTCTTAGGGCTGAATTCCGGCTTCGAAAATCACATATTACCGATCTGTAAGAAAACGATTTCCGGAATACGCACACTTTTGCGAGTGATTTGCAATTATTTTCTAATCGCTAATTTGTGGTTTTCACGGACGGATTTCCCCGTTACGCAGATGGCGCACTCGACTTTTATCGTGTTTAACGCTTTTAAATGATAATTTTGTTTATGTCAACGTTCCTTAATGATATACAACATGTTAAACCAGTGTAATAAAAGGTTAAGTTAGATTCCGACCCTTATTTTATTTAACAATACTGCATACAGCGCTATTTCCCCCTGGTGGTGAGGTTTTGAATTTTTTTTCATGAAGAATAAATTCCCGTGACCTCCTTCACACGATTGCCAAGTTTGATAACATTTGGTCCAGTAGGTTTCCTGTTATGAACATATCAAAGTGGAACTTTAATTATAACCACCCTGTATATCACAGAAATCCTTAGGAAAAAGAAACATAGCCATCTATAATAATAAAAGCAAGTGTAATGTGTCTGTCTGTCTGTCTGTCTGTCTGACCGAGCTCTCCAGCCAAATCTATCGCACGCAGGGACCTGGAATTTTTTATACGGAAGCACAAAGGGGCTGGCCACCAGACCTCGAAGCCCGATTTTCGATTTTTGAATTAGAAAAATTTAAAAAAAATATTTATAATTAATTAATCACGGTTTTTTTGACTCACTGATATTATTATTTGTTTTCAAATAACGTTCGATTGTAACGATTGATTTCTTTATTCTAGCGTTAGTTTTGCTGTTTTGACGATACATTAAATCGATTAATTACAATTCATTTCTTTTTTGTAGCTTATTATTTATAATTAATTAATCACGGTTTTTTTGACTCACTGATATTATATTTGTTTTCAAATAACGTTCGATTGTAACAATTGATTTCTTTATTCTAGCGTTAGTTTGCTGTTTTGACGATACATTAAATCGATTAATTACAATTCATTTCTTTTTTGTAGCTTGTGGGGGGGGAAGAGAGAGAGACAGTCTACATGTCCTACACTACTATTCCTGCGCTATTCACTTATCTGCATTTTCTAAATGCACGGGCAACGCCGGGCGGGTACAGCTAGTTTATAATAAAAAGACTTTGTAACAATGATAATTATGCATTTATTGCGATACATATTTTTGATGTTGACATCTTAGAAATTAGTTATATATTGTACTCATTATAGAATACATTAGCTGTTTATTCGTTACTGTTTATAAAAGTATCAAAACTTAAAAGTCTTTTAGGAATAAAATATTATAGTACATTTACGTGTATCGGTTTTCTTCTCAATGCAGTTATGTGAGTTTATAAATGGAGATCTTCTGTATGGACAGCATCTGAGTCGGAAGATGCCCCTGCGGCTATTTCATCTGAAACAGAACCTGAATCTGACATCTGAGCAGCCCACATAACTTTATGATGATCATCCTTCTTCTTCTCAGGAGATTTTTTATCGTTCAGTGTCGATAAATGTACGAATATATCTTCAATGGCTGTTCTGGTTTCTTCGTTGCCACTTGCCTCTTCTTCGCTGTTGACTTCCAGAATTGGAGACACGATGTTTTCTGTGTGTAAAGATTTCTTCCTGTCGCCTTTACTATAACGAATAGAAGCGAAGGAACCCAAACCAAATGATGAGGTTCTTCTGCTGCTTCGCTCTGCCATACTGGACATAGGTATTCCAGAGAAAGAATTCCCTGTTCTTCTTCGTTGTTGTTCGTTAACAGATCGACAAGCCACAAATCCCAGAGCAATCCCAACTAATACTAACAGAGATCCTGTAAGTAAGAGTATGATGCCAACTACTTGCATGGGATCTAGCTGAGACTCAAATTTGACGTTGGAACTCTGAATCATTTTTTGTATGAACGCCACAGTCTTTGGAGGAAATTTTGGCTTGCAAGCCATTATGGTAAGGACGGTGCCGCCGACAAGATTGAAGATTCCGAAAAGAGAGAAGCAGAAAATAAAGGGAATGGCTATGAAGAAACCGGCAGAACGTCCATGGAAGAGGAGAGGGCAGCTCGCAGCGTCTCGATGAGAATGGCGAAGACAACTTCCCTCCATTTATCTGAAAATAAAAAAGGTGTTTTAAAATGATAGCTTATATTAAACTAGCAGCTACGCTGCCAGCCTTCGTCTGGCTTTTAAATGTACAGGAAAAATACCTGAAGGGAATACCAAACATTAAATTAAAAAAACTGAGCAGATTTTTACTCTGAAGAACAACTTCAATAAATAAATAAATAAATAATAATAAAAATAAAATAAAATTTTTTTTAAAAAATCTGAAAGGTTTCACATTTTAAATTACATCCAAAGGGCGTTTTTTTTAACGTTTTGTGTGTTACCTTTATTAAATATAAAAATGTATTATATACATAAAAATGACAATGAACTATGCCAATCTCTTAAAATAAGTGACATAAGAAATACGATGAAAAATTGTTGCCTAACGCATATTTCTAAAAGAATGAAACTATTCAAAATGATGCGATTTCATCAAAAATGTATCAACAACAATAAGAAAGGAAAATTTTTGCCAAAATCACATTTTTAAAGATGTGAGATGTGAGAAGTGTACTCGGAAGCTTCATTAAAAAAAAATTTAAAATACAAAATATCATTTTTCTAAAATTCATTTTGTAAAAGCAGTCGCAAGGATGAAAGTTTAACATGTCCAAAAATAAAAGAAAAATAAACTGTACATTTTTAAAAATAAACTTTTTAAAAAAAAGCCCTTTGAAAACGAAAGCTCACTTTGTAAAATAAATTCGTATTTAATCGATTTATTGAAACGCGAAATTTATTTTAAGTTCGTAAAATAGCTAAGTGCCTACGTTTTATGACGATGTGAAAATGGAGTGTGTAGAGTAAAATCTCGCGTTCCTATAGCCCATTATGTCTCAAAATGACATGATTTCGTCACAAAACATAAAATAAAAAAAATTCTAATTCGTATTTCGAAACATCGCTTCGAGGTGCACTGGCTCTTGTCTACATGCACCTATGTACCAAATTTCGTAGCCGTGGATCTATTAGCTTACGCGCAGCGCGAACGAAAGATATACACACACACACACAGACAGACTCTTTCTTTTATTATATGTAGAGATAATTCTTGCGAGAGCCAAATCTAGTGTATACCAATCGCATTGAAAATGGATCTAGCTGAGATCAGGTTTTTTTTTTAACGTGTTTTACGTGTGGTTTAACGTGTGGGCTCAGATTTTTAGGACACACAAAAACTCAGAAACTTATAAGATATATTGACACGTAAAATGTACAAAATACGTGCCCTCTGTTTGTATACTAAAATAAAGACTGCAAGTGTGATTTACATTTCAGTGTCACGTTATCCTCGAAGTCGTAGAAATCACGAAAATTTGACTAGTAATTAAATATTGTATGAAGACATTAATAAAGGCATAATAAAAAAATAGGAAAAAAAATCTGAAAGTTTTCAGATTTTAAATTACATCCAAAGGTTCGTTTTTTTAACGTTTTGCGTGTTACCTTTATTTATTTAATATCACGTTCAACCTACTCAAACCATAAAATTCAGTTCAACAGCAATATCGCAAAATAATTTTAAAATGGGCCTATCTTTAGAATTTCCGATACAGAGTCTCGCGCGCTGGAGATAAAAAAAATATTTTATGGTATGTGTATCCTGTATGTATTTTTTCTGTTCTTAACTGAACTGCATTTTTATATCTGAATTATGTTCCATTTTTTGAATTCGTAAAATTCTGACTCTCACAAAAGTGTGTTACAATATGTTAGTTTTACTTGCTCGTACCAACTCGTTCAGCTTCCGATTTGCTTCTTGCACCTGCCTGAATTATAAAAAATTTGTAATGTCTAACATAAGCCTTCTTCTAATGAAAGGATTTATTTACATTGACATAGAAATACAAGATCCCTTAAAAAATCTGAAATTTTCAGTGATTAAAATATATTCATTTATCGTTGAATGCAAGAATTGTTTTGTGAAGAAGAGACAGAGCTCTAACTATTGTTTTTAAGATGTCAGTTTGCAGCAGAGAAGAAATTTAAAAACTGTGAAAAAGGACCTGCCACAGCCCAGTCTTTCCTAATAATTATAAATATCTGTCTCTGGTATGAAAAAGATTGAAAAAATATTTAATAAAATAAAATAAAAAATCTGAAAGGTTTCATATTTTATATTACGTGCAAAGGAGCGCTTTTTTAACATTTTGTATATTACTTTTATTTATTAAATATGATGGTCTTCGCGCTTAAACTATAAAATTCAGTTTAACAGCAATATCGCAAAATAATTTGAAAATGAGCATATCTTTCCGATACAGAATCTCTCGCGCTGGAGATTAAAAAAAAAAAAAATCGTACAGTGTTGCCATTGCTCGCATTGAAATCGTTTTGTTTTTTAATCAAAAATTCTTTGAAGTGTTACAAAATATGAAATCGATAATAAAATAAATTTCAAATTCAAATTAGGGCTTCCACATGCCCATATTCTATAGAAAATTACATTATTCAAATTTTGCTGGCTCTAGGTACCGTTGTTTTATCACAATGCGAGAAATATACATATATTATGCAGATTCTTCATTATTTAATTTCTTTGAATAAAATACACGGTGATAATATTTGGTGGCAACACTTTACAAAGTGAAACAACGCTTATCGTGAATCGACGCAAGATGCCAAAACGAAATTAATACCTTCTGAGCAAACTGCCCTTTTGGACTAAAAATATTATTAGTAAAAAAAGCTAATAAAAAAGTATCCCGTGTTTCATAAATAAATGGGGAAGTACCAGTTATAGCAAATTATTTCAGTCATCAGAAATCTGAATATAAGGATAAAAAAATCAAATTATGAGAGCAAAATCGTTTCAACCTTCTTACCTTTTTATTCTTAGAAAAGTTCGTTATTACTTTCTGTTTTTCGAAGATTTAAATAAAAATTGTTTGCATATTTTTTTACGTTTCTAGTAATAAAATTCTGATTTACAAATTTTGCTTTACCTGCAATAATTAAAACGAAAGCTTATATTTTAAGGTTATAAGGTATTTTCTCCTTCCTTTCCCCATGCCGGCGTGCTGCAATGGTAGCACACTCGACGCGTATTCGAGAAGTCCAGGTTAGAGTCATGGCAAGAGCACTGCTCATTTTTCATGCCACCAGTAACAAAATAACCTAATGACTCTATCAGGTATTACATTATAAACTTGAGGTATATTGTATCTTTACATAATACAAAAAAAAGTATGATGTGTACACCACATGACTTCCTTGTACGAAATATTAAATTATACTAATTTTTTCTTGCATTTCATTTAAACTTATTGAATTAAATCTACTACGTCAACAGCGCATAAACCGCAGTAGAATAAACACACTCTTTAAAATTCACTATATTTGTTTAACATTCCATCTAACAGCGTTATATTTCGTTCATATAACTCAGAATGCACAAAATTTATATCATTTGAAGAATTGTCTAATCGTTGCCACATATTCTATTCAAATACTATAATAAATCTAGAACGATGTATAAAAGAAATTAATCAAACAAAACAAAAAAAGAAGCAGTTTTTCACAGAAGATTCGGTATTTCTCTTCAATTAGTTCAGTTCTTACTCCGCGGCAAGGCAAAAATACATAAAAACTCAAAATATCTATATTAAAAATTACGAAGTAAATCTTAAACACTTATTTCCTAGAAAACATTCCAGAAAGGATTTAATTCGCAATAATAAATGCCGTCGTGCTGCAATGGTTGCGAAGCTTAATCTCTCTAGATTGGGAACAAATCTACTATTCTGTTGTTTCATATATAAACAAACATGCTCGTTATGTTATTTAAAAATTAGGTGTAGCAGCCCTTAAACAGCTTTTAAATTGTTGATAATTCTACAAATATTGCTTGTAGATTTCCTAAAGGCATAAAACCCTTAACCGGAAGATAAGAACAATATAAGTAAATCGTTTTTGAAGCATAAAATGCACAATTTACAAACATATAAGAGTAAGGAAATTGAGATCACTGAGCCGGGTAGCAGAGTGGATATATATACATAAATATATTTATATAAGTTTGGTGAGGCCGACTGCAACCAATATACGAGGTGCACATCTACATGTTATAGCAGTCCTATATACAAAATTTCAACGTTCTTGAGGCTACTCGTTTTTGAGTTATGCGAGATACATACGTACGTACGTGCGCACAGACTACCATGAAAAATTCTCTTCAGAATTCATTTTAAAGCAGTTTTATAATTTTTTGGGGGACAATTTAACAAAATGTCCTGTTATAAAGTCCTTACGTACAGATATCACGCAAAAACATCGCTAAATTGCATTCGATAGCGGTCAAAAGGGATATTTTCGTTGAAATATGCTGCCTGAAACTGATTACAATACTTCCTCTTTACTTCGTACAAGGAAGTAAAAAACTGCAAAGCTATATTTATCACATAGATTTCAGAGCTACTTTAAATTACTTTTTATGAACTATTAACAGAAATGGTTTACATTTTTATTACTCTAAACTTGCAAATATTTTTATATAATAACTTTTACAGTTAACTGGATTAAGTTACAGATATTTGGTATCTGCTAGCTGATATTCACATCTAGGACCGTAGGTGTCAAGTTTTCTAGATTACGCAATAAATATGGCACGTAATACATAAAAGCAGCTAGCAGATGTAGTGAATCAATATTCATTAAATTATTTAAAGTATTTATTAACAGTATATTTGGAATTCAATGGATCCTACAGCATTGCATGACAGAAAAATTTTATAGCCTTGATCTTCCTCATTTACAGCTAGCCGACTACGATTTATTTTTTAAGCTATTAGCGACGTCGTTAGTCTTTCAGTTTTTCTTTTCTTTTTGGATCATTACGCTACCACAGACATTATAGTTACCATAGATGCTTACCATTAAGATATTACGCTGCCATAGATATATTATCTCCCCTCAAGTTTTGCCACTATACGGAACAGAAGTCTCTAGTTTATCTTTCCTCAAACCTCGCATAGATATTTCTTCTTTCTACCTTTCTGAAAA